CAGTTACTCTCTTTTCATGGTGAGAATTAATCTAGCAAACAGTTACTTTCTTTTCATGGTGAGAATTAATCTAGCAAACAGGTACTCTCTTTTCATGGTGAGGATGAATCTACCAACAGTTACTTTCTTTTCATGGTGAGAATTAATCTAGCAAATCGAAAGAGTTACTTTCTTTTCATGATGAAAATTGATTAGGCACAAAAAAATTGTTCTATTTTAATGGCGGGAATTAATCTATTGCCGCCTACTGACAGTCATTTTGATATGTTTTATAGAAAATCAGAAAAATTTTAACGTGTAATGTTTTTATTCGTATGGCAATAATAACGATACAATTTTAATTTTTATAATGGTTATCAGGCTTCCGCAATACGTAAACCTAATTACTCACAATACTCGTAACTAGAGTGCACTAAGAATATGGTTCTATTTTGTCTGCCATATTAAATAATGATTAATCTCGTGAATTTAGACCCAAGTGGTCCGATAAGCTTACAATGTACTAAATGTAGTTACAAAGTTTTAATGTACAAATTTTCTTGAAAAATCAATCCACCTTAAATCGGTGAGAAAATTTTGAGTTTTGAAAATTATTAACAGTGTTATAGTGTATTATTCGAATGTTATCTAGTCTAAAACCCATTAACTGTTTTGTTTACAATGAATATTGGATATCGAAAGTTAAGACATACTTGCATATTAATCGTGAGCTTTTGTTTTTCGAAATGAGTCAGTAGAAACATATTTAGGATAATCTAAACATCTTATGCTGAATAAAACTGTATATGACTGATACAGTGATTTGGATGTAAATTGAACGATAATTAACCTCCATTTTGCAGGAAGGGCTTTTGGCAGAAAATGTTATAATTACTCCTCTCACACCCGAATTCAATGATTATGACCAGGTAAACTTTCCTTTATCGTCTGGAGACTCCATTATAGACTACATTGAAGGAATTCCTCACGCCGTAGTTCTTTCTGCTCCAAAAAAATATCTGATAGATGATTACGGTAAGATGTGAAAGGAAATTTATGAAAATATCTACACCTGTTTCATATTAGACACCCGTGTTTCTAAAACCTTTTAAGCAACCAAATGTTCAAGGACAAACTTTAGGAATGCTTACTAGGCTAATGCAAGGTTTATCTTAATATTATTGAAACAACAAACTAATACCTATTCACACAAAGACAAAACAAACGCTATTTGGAACATGATAAAACAAATGTAAGATGGGTTACCAACTGCACGCTTACTGTTTTCAAAACTAAAAGCATTTATTCTAATACATTCTCTTACATTATTGAAGAGGAGACCATCAACATCGTTAAAGAATATTTTAACCGAAAAAAATATATTCTAAAAATAACAAACCAAAACTTGAATCACAAAATTATTGTACTTTCAAACATGCAGAGAATTTCGGCATATAGTATAATGACCTTAAGCCCGCTCCGTAACTTTCAATCATATAGTATAATGACCTTAAGCCCGCTCCGTAACTTTCAATCATATAGTATAATGACTTTAAGCCCGCTCCGTAACTTTCAATCATATAGTATAATGACCTTAAGCCCACTCAGTAACGTTCCATCATGTAGTATAATGACCTTAAGCCCACTCACTAACGTTCAATCATGTAGTATAATGACCTGAAGCCCACTCAGTAACGTTCAATCATATAGTATAATGACCTGAAGCCCACTCAGTAACGTTCAATCATATAGTATAATGACCTTAAGCCCACTACGTAACTTTCCATCATATAGTATAATGACCTTAAGCCCACTCCGTAACTTTCAATCATATAGTATAATGACCTTAAGTCCGCTCCGTAACTTTCAATCATATAGTATAATGACCTTAAGCCCACTCCGTAACTTTCAATCATATAGTATAATGACCTTAAGCTCACTCCTAACTTTCAATCCTAACAACAACAAAAAATTAATTAAAACCCTAATAATGTCTTTCTCAATCGTATCTTACAGTGTTTCCCTTGAATGCGGGACAAGCCTTTGTTTTTTCCCCCTTCCTCCTACACTAATTTAGGTTTAAGTTTTTAATCATTATCTTTTCCTTTGAGCTTTTCTTAGTATATGTGTTAGTAATAGCATCCTGTGTAGATATTATATTAATCACGTAACAGAAGGAAGGATATTCTGTTTGTTATTCTGGTTCTATCCCTGTTCTGCTCTCCCTTGTGACTTTCGGTGACTTAGTACCTGTCACCTCTGGAAGGGTGACGCAGCAGGAAATATTTGCCTTGCCTTCTTCTTAGCAATATCCTTAACTGAATTTTTGAATTTGAGTTCGTAAGCTACGTCGTGTTGAACGAAAAAGTTAGCAAGGTTGCTTAGACAGTTTTCGGTAATAATAATAATAACAGTACAGTTGTTAGTCCTTTATACACTGACTAATACATGGTCAACCCAGTCACATTAGTGCCTAATAACAGTGGGTAACCTATACTTGTAGACAAATTTACTCCATTTTCCCGCAAAAACGAGGAGTTTTTGGCCTTGAAGACCTATACAAAAAAAAGGAAAGTTTAAAGTCCTTTATACACTGACTAATACATGGTCAACCCAGTCACATTAGTGCCTAATAACAGTGGGTAACCTATACTTGTAGACAAATTTACTCCATTTTCCCGCAAAAACGATGAGTTTTTGGCCTTCAAGACCTATACAAAAAAAAAATGTCCCCTTTAAGTAAAAAAACAGAGTTTATATTTTCGTCTTAGTGGTGTATATTTCTGATGTCAATATGATTACATTATAGCTATCAAAGTAAAGTAAACAAGTTTGTATACCTTGGATATAAGTACCTATAATACCATTAACATACGGAATCGCACAAGAACACATCAAATAGATCAAGAAAACTGGATACAATAGCTTCACTTAAGGTTTGTTTGTTTGTTATGGATTTTGCGCAAAGCTACACGGGGGCTCTCTGCACTAGCCGTCCCTAATTTAGCATTGTAAGACTAGAGGGAAGGTAGCTAGTCATAACCACCCACCGCCAACTCTTGGGCTATTCTTTTTTCAACGAATAGTGGGATTGACCGTCACTTTATAACGCCCCCACGGCTGAAAGGGCGAGCATGGCCATGCCGGGCCCTTCACTTAAGGATTAGATGAATGGTTGTTGTACAACAAACACGTCATTATATACTTAAAACAATAAGTACAATGTTAAACACACGTGTAGCAATTGTAAAACTTTATTGTTCATCAGTTCAATACTTGTTGAAATCTGTACATCAAAGTAAATGTGCACGCTGGCATGACTAGGGTGATCACATGCTGGACAATTGTATTCGATGACGAGGAACCCACTTTGAGACTAATAATGGTTGGAGACGGCTTGAATGGGTAATGAAGAAAAACTTTAATATAAGTTTAACATAACAGCAAATGTACAACGTTTCGACAAGGTTTTGTCATCATCAGGTACCCATACAAGCCGTCTCCAACCATTATTGGACAGTTGTATATTATTCACGTGAACACGTTACGCGTTGGCGTAGGTCAAGTGGTAGAAGTTGTCTAGGTCAAGTCGTGCAACTTCACCCCCCTCCCCTCTTGCGGTATTGACCATATACTCACTGAATAATTAGATATATATATAATATTTGAAAAATAATATCGGACTGTTATATTAGGCATACATTAATATTCATTAAACAAGTAGACTTGCATTATTTAAATAGGAGCATATTTAGTATATTTTAAAGTTGCCTAGCTAGTTAGATATACATAAAAGTATTTGGAAAGAAACAATTGTACAGCCATGGAGAATAATTTAAAGTTCCCTTAAAAACTACTTTAAATGAGAACGACGACCGAAGTTGAAGTATATTTAACGTTTACTTAATAATTAAACTTCTTTAAAAACTACTTTAAATGAGGACGACGACCGAATTTGAAGTATATTTAACGTTTACTTAATAACTAAACTTCTTTAAAAACTACTTTAAATTAGAACGACGACCGAAGTTGAAGTATATTTAACGTTTATTGAATAACTAAACTTCTTTAAAACTACTTTAAACGAGAACGACGACCGAATTTGAAGTATATTTAACGTTTATTGAATAATTAAACTTCTTTAAAAACTACTTTAAATGAGAACGACGACCGAAGTTGAAGTATATTTAAACTTTACTAAATGATAAAAGAGGGTTAGATATTGCTTGGAGTGAGAGAATCGAACATTTATAGACTACATTTTAGCATTTACCAAATGATTTGTGTATTTGTAGTTATTCCTGAGGTTACGAAAACAGATGATTTACGAGAAAATTTTACGTCGAATGTACTTTACAGTGTAGGTAAGTCCCTTTCGATTTTAGGTACAATTTTCTAATATCCTCTTCGTTTTAGATACATTGTAGATTATATGTTGTTGTTGTAATTTTAGTTTGATCTACACTTTACCCTAAGCTATTTAAAGATAATTATATTAGTTTTAGGACCACTGATCAGTGCTTAAAGAGTTCCTTCTTTTGATTTCAGACGAAAGTGTTTTGAAAGAAAACTTTGAATTTGATGAACACTCCAGAAACGCTGATAAACTGCAATCTATTGCTGCTGAAACTAACGAACTGAATCATATTCCAGGTATGAACAGGTCTTACACGAGAAAATAAATGAAATGCAAATAAACTTCTTTCATAACTAACATGGCAATAATCAAAAGGTAATGTCTCAGACACCTTAATTTTACATAAATGACTTCATTTTGAAACGGAAGCAGTTAAAATTCAAAGAATGTTTTTAAATAATACAGAGGTATGAAATGTAATGGTACCACCCTATTTTCCTTTAGCGTGTTAAACTTAGTGTGTAATACAGAGGTATGACATGTGATGATATCACCCTATTTTTAACGTGTTAAAGTTAATGTGTAATACAGAGGTATGAAATGTGATGATATCACCCCATTTTTTAACGTGTTAAACTTAGTGTGTGATACAGAGGCATGAAATGATTTTTAACGTGTTAAACTTAATGTGTAATACAGAGGTATGAAATGTAATGGTACCACCCTATTTTCCTTTAGCGTGTTAAACTTAGTATGTAATACAGAGGTATGATATGTGATGATATCACCCTATTTTTTAACGTGTTAAAGTTAATGTGTAATATAGAGGTATGAAATGTGATGATATCACACTATTTTTTAACGTGTTAAACTTAATGTGTGATACAGAGGTATGAAATGTGATGATATCATCCTATATTTTAACGTGTTAAACTTAATGTGTTCAATATTAATTACGCAATCTGTTGATTAACTAGTACTTTGTATTGATTCTGATTAATTATCACGTGTCATGTTCTTTGATTGTAATGTAATTTTGATATGTTATCTTTATTCGATGTTTACCAGTTTTACCATCAGAGCGTATATATATATTGGATTATCAATTTTGATCGTATACATATATATATATATATATTGGATTACTAATTTTGATAGTATGTATATACATATACATCGTATCTCGTATATATGTATGTTTTTGATTATTAATTTTATTATGTCCTTGTTTTTATGCTAAGTATATGATAATGTAATATGACGTGTTCAATAACTTAAAAGTGGATTAGAGGTTAGCGTGTCGGATTGTGAATACGAGGATCCATGGTTCGCGTTCCGTGCTTTGGGGTCGTAAGTGTATTATTTGAGACACGGTCAAATCCCACGATTCGACTAGAGTAGCCCAAGCGATAGCAGGCGATGTTGATAACTAGCTGCCTTTCGTCTAGTATATCAGTTCAAATCTAGGGATAGTTAAATGCAGGTAATCCTGTAGCTTTGCGCAAATACCCAAAACTAACAAACGAATTCTAATTAGTTTTCCTCAAGTGACTTTCTTGGTAAAGCTTCGAAATTGCAATTTTATTTATGTTTTTAATAAATTTTCATGTATCCATACACAAACAGACGTTTGGGGTATAAAAAATAACGTTTGTTTTTTCTTTGGGTTTGTTATAGTTTGACTATCATGTTCATACTGCGTACTAGATGGATATTCGCATACTTATCAATACCCTAGTTTTGAATTGTGTTTAGAGGCGACTACTTTATTATTAGTGTTATAAGCTTGTAGACATTTTAACCTGATGATGTAGTGTATACTGTTAGTTTACAATTAATTGTTTTATAGGTATTTGACCGTGATTGTGGAAGAGTGAGAAGCGGCCTCTATTGGGCAAATTGTTATCTTGTTGGCTGTATGATTTTAAAATGTCATATTGACGTTTTGTATTTATTGCATCAGTGTACTAGATATTAAAAAACAACAACTATAAAACAAAATAAACATATATCCTAAATATCAGATTAAGCACAAAAGTATTACAATTATTCGTACTGGATTAATGATACACTAATAAGGATTTTATTATCCGTGCATTACGAAAATGTAAATATCTTCAACTTAAAAAAATTAAAAATTGTATTCAATACTGTGTAACAAAGCCTCTCTCTTATAAAATCCTGACCAGTGTCAGGTCGACATGCTGCCAATACCTTTGATTCTAGCCAGAAGCTGCTCTGTGAGTGGTTGGTCTTTGGTCCGAGGCTACAAGATGACGTGCTACTCTGGTTGGCTCATCATACAACTTTGCATGACCTCAGGTATCACAAGCTGCTGTCAAGGTTGTGGGGGAACTTTCAGTCCTGAAAGATACATTTCCTCCATGGTTTACAGTCTTCATCCATGTGTGCCCATTCTCTCACGTGCTAGGCTTAGGAGATCATCCAGCCTCTCTTCACTGATCACAAGTGGTTTGTTCCAGAGCTGAGGCCGTGGTACTCTAATAGATGACAGCCTAGGAGTCCCATAGAGTCCACCCATCTGGTCGTGGACTCACCAGGCACCACTCCACTTTGATGTTCTTCAGTTGTCCATGCTTGTATTCTGCTAAGATCGATCCTCAAGGATATGGTTTGCTCCAGTTGTTTGGGTGTTCCAGACATTAGCAAATCCCTTGTGTCTGCAGTTGCAGGCTAACTGATGTCTTGAAGAGCTTGTTTCTGTATTCGACAT